GGATTTTTCAAAGCTTGAAAAACGACCAAGTCGGTCCAATCTTTATTATTTTATACTTTTATTGTTTTAATTTCTAACATTGAGACATAGGTATGCTAAAATTACGAAGGGTTAGTACTAGATATACCAACATATTGAGCTCACCCCGTTAATATATATTTTGGATAGTTTTATACAAACAATAGAATAATATACATTAAATTACAAGATAATTCTAATATGGGATACCGGATGCAATGATGAATGCTTTTAACTAATTAAGCTACAAATCACTTGCTTTTAGATGATTATTTGATTAATAGATTCACTTCATAATTTAATCAATCATATATATTTTTAAATATAAAACTTAAGTATTCCAATAAATAAATGGTTTCTAAATTGATAACTATTATAATCATGTCTGCATGTCTAAATCGAATCACGGGTTAATTTTTTATTTTTGTTTTAAAATTTGAAGGAGAGAGGAAGAGAGTGAGAGAGAAGGTGAAAGTGGGGAGTGAGGGAGGGAGGTATAATGTTTTCTAATTTTTTTTTTAAATTAGAGATGTTAAAATCACCTATAGATGATACTTAAACAAACAAACAAAAATTTGTTTTGTGAAATTATGTTATTACCCTTAACTTTTTCGTGGTGATAGAAAACTAAATAGTTTTTTCACCATGTTTTGGTTAACGAAGAGAGTTATATTAATATGTAGTTTAGAAAACCAAAAGAAAGTTTTATTAATATTTAGGGGGGTGTATTCAATTAGGATTTTGAGGGATTTTAATTCTTTTAATGAATCTAGGGGTATTCAATCAGGAATTTAAGTGATTCTCTGAAATTCAATGTGTATTCAATCAGGATTTTAAGATAGTTTATGAAAATCCTTAGAAATCCGGGTGTATTCAATTAGAATTTTAAAGAAGTTTATAACATTCCAGGTGTATTCAATTAGAATTTGATTTTAAAGAATTTGAGAAAGTTGAGGAATTAGAGGGAATTGGAGAGATTTCGTAGTGTATTTTGAGCATTCACAAATCTCACCTCCCCCCAAGAGATTTCGAGGGAATTGAATCAAAATTTTACATGGAATCTCTACAAATCAATTAAACTCCATAAAAATCCATGGATTTATAAATCCATTAAAATCTCTCAAATTCTCAATTGAATACACCCTCCTTAGTTTAAATATGTTTAGTCTTTGGGGACAGTTCAATCGGTGAGTGGCGGATATTGAGTTAGGATTAGGGTTAGGTCACCAAACTAAAACTAGCCGTTGGCTCTTATGTTCTGCCTGTAGGCATCGTTATGAAAGCAAATTTTCAGGTACATGAAAGGACACAAAACCTGTTATGTGGTGGCAACGTGAATTTTTTGGCTTATTTACCCTCAAAGTCTTTGAAGATGATGTTTTTGGTACACGTAGTTTTCAATTGCGACAATTTTACAGAGAGGAAAGAAATAAGTGCAAGAAAAAAAAAGCATGTTGATTGATTGGTCTTGGTTTGGGTTGGGGGATAACATTTTTGTCCGAAATAAATATGGAGGATTAGGCACTATACTTCTTTGGGAAGTTGGATATTAAATTTTACTTTTGAAATAAGCACTTATCAGTCAATTGGGGTCCATAAAAGCTAAAAACGAAAGCTCAGAAAGTCAGTTCTTTGTATGTTCATTTGGAATAGCTATGGATGTAACCGGGGAAAAATTGCAAACCCTAGACGACTCTTGATTTTGATTGAATCCGACGTGCTCAATTTATTTATTTATTTTAAAATTTTACTATTATTAGTGGTATCAAAACATGGTGAGAGATTCATTGTATGAAATGATAAGTGAGAAAGATGAGAGATTCTTTATTACCTCATAATGATTTCATATTAAGCTTGTCCAAAATTATATTAGTAAAGTATGCGATAACGCTAGTTTGAATGTGCTTTTAAATTTTATTTTATCTAGAGTACAATTTTTATTTAAAAAAAATTCAAGAGTTTTTAAAAGCACTGCCAACAAAAAGCACTTTTTATTATCTAAAAACATTCTTAGCCCGTAAAAGCAAGGCCAAATTTCCTTAATCAAAAGATTACAAATTAATTATGCATTTTTATAATGGTGAGATTAATAAAAGTGAGCACTATTGTTTTTAAGGATTGTTTTTGAAGCTGGGCTGGGCGATAAGGGCCTCAGCCACAAATGAGTATCAACATTGTCATAAACAGGCTATGTAGGCCGTCTCAAAGTTGAGGTAGCCCATAGGCCCAGTGAAGTTCTGCTTTTCCAATTGTAAATTAACTTTCGTAATTGGCCAAAAAGCCCAAGCCCGTCTCTTTGTGTTTTTTCCTGGACCAAAATTAGTACTTCTCTTTCGAATGTTGGAATATCTCTCTCTCATAAATTAAAAATGACGAAGAAGGTCTTGCCTTTATAATTCCAAAACTATTAATATTTGAAAACGCAAACTCTAAAAATAAGAAATAGGATTGAATCTCCATTTCTGTCATACTACGTTCTACGTAACAATAAAGAACAATAATAGATAAACATATAACACATTGTCGGTTAAAGAATTCACCAAAGAATAAAGATTTGGTAACATGCCGACTAAAAAGTGTCACTCCCCCTTTTTTGTGGTGTAATTTTCATATTAATGAAGTTCCTGTGTTGCTTTTAGAGGTGGTTCGGTATGGGATACCATACCGAAACTAGTATCCCAAATCCCAAACCGAAATTTTTCAGGACGAGAATTTGAAGATCAATCCCAAACCAAATTTTCAGGAATACCGAAATATTTTCAGGATTTCGGGACAAATTGGGAATCCCAAATTGAAATATGAAATTATGAATTGTTCTTCAAATATATAATTCAAGAACACATTCATGAACTAGGAATATCATTTCATTCACACTACCATTTAATTGAACACTGTCTGACTGTTTTTATCAGAGTCAAAATTCAAATTGATCAAACCTTTTTTGCAATCTGTTGAGAGACAAAAGAATCAAGTCTTCTAAAATCATCGGCCATGGCAGCAGTAATAATAAAATCCAAATGAATATCAAATAGAACATGAAAAATATGCAAGGTGTAGGGCATTCCAATTTGCAGAGCATGAATTAGAAACTACTAGCATCAATTATAAAAGAATATATATATATATATATATATATATATATATATATATATATATATATATATATATATATGAAGCTTTTAAGGGAAGGGAATCCCATTTAAAAAAAAATGGGGATATCCTCTTGACGTAGATCCCTTCCCTTAAAGGGCTTGTGTGTGTGTGTGTGTATATATATAATATAGAGAAATTAGGTTCTCATCCTTACTTTTGCTACTCCATTGATTAAAACTTTATTCCTTTTCAATTTTTGATCAAGGTCCTTGGTATTAATAACATCATTAATTATTTCAATAATAAAATATTTTTTATTTCTAAATATATTCATTTAATGTTAAAAATGTTACAATTAGTATATTTATATTTATAGTTAAATTTTTTATCATATATTTTTATTTTTATTTTTAGTTTGTACCCATTTTTAATTTGTACCAATTTTCTTTTTAGTTTTAATTTGTACCCATATATTAATTTCTTTTTATGCCCATATTTTTTAAAGTTTTATTTGTATTTGTACCCATTTTTATTTTTTCTAAATGTACCCATGCTAATTATATGTACCAATTCATGTAATTTTTTCAAATTTTTAATCTTAAAATGTACTCATTCTTAAATATACCAATTTGTTATATGTAAAAAGTACCATTTTTTTTATATATAAAATCTATTCAAATTTTTCTAATCCATTTTTAAACTTATATGGGTACATTCTTTTTTCTTTGATTTGAGAATGTATCCATGTTAAGTTTAATCGAAGAAATTTACTAATATTATTAAGCCTAATATCTCTTTTTTTTTTGTGATTTTGAAGAATGTACTCATGTTTTGATACAATAATTTTTTGGTTAATTTTGATGAACATACCCATGTTTATACACACACACACACAATAGTATATTTATATTTTAATATTTTTAATCCCACAAATTATGTTTTTTTATTTAAAATCTCATTAATATAAACAAATATAAATTTCAATTTTTAATTTAAAAAATATAGTAACGTACATAGAAATAAATAATGAAAATGAAAATTTCAGGGACTTGGATAAAAAATTGAAAACCAACAAGGTTTTAGTCAAAGAATATTCATAGTTAGGGACCGCAACCAAAGTATTTTCGGTTTGGTATGAGATTCCCGAAATATCGAGAAGCCAATCCCAAATCCTGTACCGAAATTTCAGGATCAGTTCAGGAATTTCGATTTGGGAAATTTTTGGTTTGAGATCAGGATTTTTTCGGTTCGGTTCAGGATTTTCGGGAATTTTTTCCACCCCTAGTTGCCTTCACAAAGTTGATCAAGAGGTCGCTTCACAAAAAAAAAAAAAAAAAAGGTTAAAAAGTGATCCAACTTCCTGCTTTTCCTTTTAAGTAAAAATCCCAATCATACTAAATGCCGTTGTTTTTTTTCTTCCCAACAAAGGAAATACTGACAGCTCGATCGACAAGCTTTTCTTCTTCACACCTTCGAATACATGTGAGAATCTGATGTGACCACAATGTTGTTATAATCTCTCAACTTTTCACATGCATGGTTGGTTTTGTTTCTCGTGAAGATATAGCTCTTTAGATCGAACCCTAGTTTTTGAATTCCTATATTTTTTACAGTAAGAAATAGAGAAAATTAATAATGCCTTAATTTGCAGAAACAATTTGTTAATTTCACAACAAAACCCTACTATGAGTCTATGAATACATTTTTTTTGCACCATTTTTCTCACCATATGCTGATTTCCAGGCTTCCAGTTCCAACATATAATTTAAAAGTAAATAACAATAAGAACTCACCACATAAAGGTTTCTAACTGAACTGCATATATAATACTGCATTTAAGCCAAAACAACCAAAGCAGAATCCTTCATATAAGAAAAAGCAGAAAAGATCTATTAGCTTTCAACACTTCATGAAAAATCTTGCTTATTCAGGAGCCTTCTCTCTCTCTCTCTCTGTCTCACATGCACTTATAGTCCACATACACTTTCTCTCATCTTCTACAGGAAAACAGAAAACAATATAAATTACAAGTAGAGTCCATAAATCTTCAAACTCAAAATTTTGAAGTTCTTAGAACTTCAACAAGTTCACCATCATGCCACCAAACAGAGAAAACCAGATGGGTTCATACTCTAAGGCCAACACTGTCCACAAACCTCCAATGCTCTCAATGGGAAGTCTCCAAAGAACCATATCTGACATCTCAGCTGAACTAAGCAGCAGCAGCAGCAAAGAAGCCATTGATGATGGCATTCATCTTCCAACTATATCCGAGGTTGAGGATGCCAAGTGTGAGTGCTGTGGCATGTCCGAGGAGTGCACAAATGAGTACATAGATCGCGTGCGCAGCCAGTTTTCGGGGAAGTTAATTTGCGGGTTGTGTGCTGAGGCTGTGAAGGAAGAGATGGACAAGAATGGAGGCAAACGAGAAGAGGCTGTGAATGAGCATATGAGTGCTTGTGAAAAGTTCAATAGGCTTGGTAGGGCATACCCCGTTTTGTACCAAGCTGAGGCCATCAAAGAGATCTTCAAAAAGAGTTCAACGGTTAGGGCAAAATCCATAAGTCCTAGAGATAAGAGTGTTCGAAAGGGTAACGGGGGTATTGCAAGGAGCTCCAGTTGTATTCCCGCAATCAACAGAGAAGAACTCAGCCCTAAATCTTAAACTCTAATTAAACTCTAAATTGTAAACCTTTGTAATTTGAAGGGACTTTTTTAGTTTTTTTCTCTATGTAACACAACAAGTATCCGCGTCAAAGGGGTACTTTCCATTTACAATAAATGTAACCATCTAATGCTAATCTTACTTTGATCGATTAGTTTTTTATTACACAGATATTACAATTTTAGTCAAAATTAAGGGAAAGAAGATGATTTGAACAAGGGACTCAGTCGGTTAAACAATTCAACACTTGCCAATGTTGTTGATTAGTTAGCCCTAGCACATAAATAAAGTTTGTGCCAAATTTCTATTCCTTTCTTTATACATGTACTTGGTCGTATGGGATGAGCCTAGCTATGAAGGAATATATAAACGCCTTGTATAAAATTGAGCTTAGGGGTGAATATTTTTAGCATATTATCGTACTATACTGATTATGTATCAATCAGCAATAGTATGATAATTGTACAGAATCAATCATAAATGTGAATGGTATCCAAAATTGTTTTGCTGGAGTTAAATAGTAATTTCAACACAAACTCACTTAGTGCGTTTTGTTATTTTTATTTTTAATTAAAAAATAAATCCAACAAAAAAAAGATAAACATTTTATTTTTAATTTAACATAAAAAAACCAACTGGCACACTATGGAAAAAATTCATTTTACCCTCTTATACGTTGCCTCGAGGTATTTTCTTCTTATAATCATTTTAAGCTAGTAAATTTGGATTAATAACTAATAAATGTGTGACAAAGAATAAATAAAGAGGTTGCTGCAATACAATTGAAGGGTGATATATTTTTTAATGGTATTTGTATATTGGACTAAATATGTTTTCAGATTTTGGCCTAAATAAAATGGCCTATTATTAAAGTGGTATTGTTACTACATTATCATACCAACCGAAATATTTAGTATTACTGAAAATTTGACATGACAATGATAATAAAATTTGAAATACCAAAAATTTGGTATGGAGGTTTGGTACGGTACCAAATCCAGCCACAGTCTCGTTTTTCTTTTGGTGGAAAATACTGTCTTATTTATTTGAGCATTTATCAAGTCATGGCAACTTTCACCTTTTTAAATATGTAAACAATATTTCCATTTTGGTAAACAATAATTTGGCATAGTATTGGAGCATGAGATTTAAGGGGTTTGTAGAGAAAATAAAAAATAAAAAAAAGGCTTATTATACAAAATAGTCCTTGAGATGTGCATGATCAATAGAAATGGTTCCTGAGATTTGCATGATCAATAGAAATGGTTCTTGAGATTAAAAATCAATAGAAATGGTCCCCGAGATTGTCCACCATCCATGATTTTAGTCATTTCGTTAAAAACTCTTTGGGCAATTTTCAAAGCTTCGTAACTCAATCGATTCTTAACCAAATTCGACCCATAATATATCAAAATGAAGATAAGAAAGTGTAGAACAATATTATACCTATTTGGAAGCCCAATGGTTGCTGGAGATGTCTGAAAAATAGCCTGAAAGATGACTGGTCCGAGGGAAAACGGGAAAACTCGCTGGAAACTGGGTAAACTTTAAACGTTCATAACTTCTTCAAAACTCAACGAAATCAAGTGATTCAAAAACAAAAATCATACTTCTCGACGAGATGAAGAAAATGGAATCTTTCTCTACAGATAACTAGCCGTGGTTTGGCCGGAAAACTGCTCGAAAGTGGCTAACTCGAAAATGGTTAGCCACTTTCGAGCTGTTGTCCGACCAAACCACGTTTCGTTAGCCTTGGAAAAAGTACCATTCTCTTTGTCTCGTCAAGAAGTATGATTTTTGGTTTTGAATCACTCAATTTCGTTGAGTATTGAAGAAGTTATGAACGTTTAAAGTTTACCCAGTTTCCGGCGAGTTTTCCAATTTTCCTGCAGACCAGTCACCTTTCAGGCTATTTTCCGGCTATCTTCGTCAACCATTGGGCTTCTAAATAGGTATAATCTTGTTCTACACTGTCTTATCTTCATTTTGATGTATTATGGGTCGAATTTGGTTAATAATCGATTGAGTTACGAAACTTTGAAAATTGCCCAAAGAGTTTTTAACGGAATGACCAAAATCATGGATGGTGGACAATCTCATGGACCATTTCTATTGATTTTCAATCTCAGAGACCATTTCTATTGATCATGCAAATCTCAGAGATTATTTTGTATAATAAGCCTAAAAAAAATTATATTTGTGAACTGTGATTCGTCCTAAAACTGCCCCAGGCCAGTTGTGATGAGGCCCAGGTACTACACTTTGCGGGCCAAGCTCAAACATTATCAAGTCCCATCATCAACGGTAAAGGTTTGAAAGCAAATTTACATGTCATAACCTTGATGTAATTTTGAGTGAATAAATTTAAAAAAAAAATTAGGAGTTAATCGTACAACGATTCAATGTCAAATATGTGATGTGTTGATGCACAAAATCAGCGAAGACTTTGGTACAACAGAAAGTGTCAGGTTTTGTGACATTCGCTTGGTTGCTTCGGTCACTAGTGAGGATAAGTACGTAAATGAATAGAGACAGAGAAGAAAACACAGGATGTACGTGGTTCACCCAGATTGGCTACGTCTACGGAGTAGAGGAGTTCTCATTAATTGTGAAGGGTTTACACAAATACATAGGTTCAAGCTCTGGTTTAGTGAGTTCTAGTGAATAGTTTAGTACAAAATGACATTAGAGATTATTGTGGGAGATGATCCCTATTTATAGAAGAGAGTTTCTAGTTTTGTTCTAATATTGACACATGTCGTGTTGTGATTGGCTTCTGATGTTGACACGTGTCGTGCTGTGATTGGCTTCTGATGTCGACACGTGTCACATTGTGATTGGCCTTCTGGTTGAAGGGAAATTCTTCTGGGTCCTTGACGGTATAACGTTGACCGGTGCTCAGTAGTTTCGGGATTAGTCAAGTATGGTACAAACATGATGTAAACTCCATGTTTATTGATGATTAATCATGGGAATGTTGATTTTATCTCATTAGTTAAACGTTTATCAAATATGTCGCATATGCCGCATCATATATTATTACCCATTAAGGGTATATTTAAGTAATTGTAATCAGAATAAAAAGAGGAATTGAATTCTGATTCTAAAGTATTCTTGTGTTTACTAAATAATAGGGGAAAAAAATAGTGAGACCCATATAAATTTTGGAATTGAATTCCTCATTTGGAGGAATTCAACTCTTTAGACATAAGTGGTAATCCAATTCCTGAAAATGTGGGAAATCCGGAAAGGAATCTTTTGCCAATTATACCCGCACTTGAATTTTTAAACTCCATGATTAATCTCCATTACCCGAACAGACCTACACCACGCCAGCCCAGCGCCACTCCTACCTCTCACTGACCACCACGACCACCCTTATCATTCCTACACATGCCCAGCACCGCAGCTACCAATTCATGATGTAAAAATATGTAATTGTTTGTTCTCGTTCAAGGCGATGGCCTGGATTTTTTTCTTTCTTTCTTCCTATACTTTATCTTATTTGTTTATTTAAAAAAATATATATATAATTAGGTCTACGTTTATATTGTTTTGGAAATTAAAATTTATTAACTAGCCTATAAATGAATTTCTTTAGGGCATGGGCAGCTTAGTAATTAAATTAGTTTTAATACCGATTTAGGGGTGTTTGGTAAACAACTTGTATAGAATTAGCATTATTTCTACTCTGATTCCAGACAGTTTAGTAAACAGCTTCTATATGAATATGATTCTGATTCATTCTCAATTCAACTCCTCCTCAATTCAATTCCCTCTATTTTGATTACGGATTAGTAAACGTGCCCTAAAAGGGCAACCATTCTTTGTGTACCATAACAAACTAAAGCTCACAACCACAAACATGTTGGTAAGAAAGGATAATGTTAGGGAGCCTAAACTTTTTAACTAAGTTTGTAAACTAAATGATGTGTCATCGTAATGAAATAAACACGTTAATTAATACTTAAGTAATAATCTAACCATCAACTCCAGATTATTTAGTTTACAAAATTTAATTCTAATCTCCCTGACATTATCCATAGGAAATTAAGACAGTGGCATGGTATGTTGTTTACTTTTTAAATTGTCCATTCCAATAACCCCCACAATTAAAGATTTTATCAAATTAATCTTTTTCCACCGATGGGCCATTCTCCACGTCTTTGTTAGCTAGCTAGATAGTTTTGTTGGCAGTGTAAGATGGAGGGGGACCGTCCTATGGTTTATCATCCATGGTTTTTGCATGCATTATCCTCTTCTTTTTGGTTTATCTACCCGTGCACTTGGTCATTTTAAAAGACCCCAATCACTTCTTTTGTGGATTCATGAGAGACGTCTATAAATTTCGGCATGAGTGTGACATTATTGTGTGATGTTATTAATTTAAATAGTATAATATGAATAGACGATAATATTAATATTTATAGTCCTACTCCTACGTATAGCATATATTAACAAATAAATACAAAACTTATCATATCACTTAATTGCTGATCACGTACCAGTGTGACATGCGATCACACCAATAGATATTCATATAATAAGTTTTGGTCGGTGCACAGTATGAAAATAAACCATTGAAAACCCAAATTAACTAGCTCCATAAAGACCACGTACAAACTTATGGAATTCTCAAAGATGTGCATGGCTCATCAATTCCTCGCGAGTGGAAACTTGACTACAAGCAATTAATTACAGTACACATATAATATCAGCTAAGCTTATGATTGTATTTTACATGCATGCATGCAAGAACTCCGGCCGCTGACTGAACAAAGTGCAACCCGAGCCCTAGGTAGCCAATTAACAAGTGGTGCATGTTGCACTTATAAATTAATGCTTTGATAACAATGCGTGCAATTTGCACAACATTGGCATGAAAAAGCAAAAGCTAATATGTAGAATGCATTGATATTTTAGTCTGTAAAGTGGCCTTTCAGCATGTAACTGACAAAAACTTCTCGAAGCTTATGTATATCCAAATCAACTTTAAAATATATTACATTATCGCATTCAACCTTTGAAACGACTGCCAATACACAAGAAAACCCAACCCACACACCCTCATTTCGTATAAATACCCAAGTGATATGTGCCGATCTTATACTTCAGTTCAACATAGCCAACTATTACTTCTCTCAACAAATATATGATCATATATATCATCAAGTCTCTGAGCAGTTGACATGGTAATGTTGTCTTTAACTATACTCATACAATATATTGCTTGCTTTTAACTTTTACATCAAGAGTAATGTTATTCAGACACAAAATTGATACGTTTGCTGAACACATTATCTAATACAAGTACAGTAATAGGCCCGTCTCTATCAAATTGTGTCATAAATGTGTTAATTTTATCTGTCCAAATGGTTTATTATATCTTTGAGCTAATCTCGCTCTTTCATGTCCATGCATGCGTTCGCGTAAACATGCATGCATACATACAGCCGCAGACCGAGCAAAGGCTTCGAAAGGCATTCTCCGATGTTTCAGTTGAAATAAACAAGTATAAGAACGAACTGGAATTTAGTAGCAACGATTTTATGCTTGCTACAATTGATGAAGTGAAGCAGGCAGAGTGTGAATGCTGTGGACTGAAGGAGGAGTGCACACAAGGCTATATCAACGAAGTCGAGGGCTCCTTTTCAGGTAAATGGGTTTGTGGGCTCTGTTCAGTAGCTGTCAAAGATAATAAGACGAGGGCTCCAAATGGCACTCCCATGCAAGAAGTCGTGAGCTCTCACAGGGACTTTTGCCAGAAGTACAAGAGCACTAGGCTCAACCCTCAGCTCTCATTGACCTCTGCCCTGAGGGACATAGCAAAAAGAAGCTCTGAGAGTAGAAATCTGAACAACAACATGCCAATGCTTGGTCGTAGAAACAGCTGCGGTCCAAGAATTGATTTCAAGCAATATATGTAACTATTGGTATGATGAGTACACTACTTGGTCGGACTTCAATACACGCACACGCGCGCACACACACACACACACACATACACACACATACATATATTTGTTATATAATCGTTAGTATTCAATCCATCTATTTCAATTTATTTGGTCTGACAAAGAGCAAATTCAGAGAGATGAGAAATCGATCAAGAGGCTGTAAAATGTAACTGAACTGCTTCAAGTTTTCATTCATTGACAAAGGGAGCAGACTGTGGAGTAGTTGAGCTGTTTAACACAACAGGCTTATCTATAACAAACCAGCCACATCAACTACTAACCGAATCAACAAAACACAAATTGAACAAATAACTAAAACTAACTCAATACGTAAATGATGTACTCCTTTTATTGTCAATTGATTTCATGGTGTATATATAGAACTCAACTTCATCTATGATATTATTCCATGTGTGAACACCCAACAATCACATTAATTATCATGTGCTTAGTTTGAATATTGACACGCATAAAATAGCGTATAAGAGTACAAAGTATTCTCCGGCAACAGGAATCAAAATGCAAATCCAAGCAACAATCTTAGCCCAAAGTAGTAATGGGCTGAAGCCTGAGCTGTGCAAACTCCAAGTATCATCGTCGTCTTTAACTTGGCAGCCATAAATTAGGATGCGCCGTTCAGGACAAAAAAGAAAAGTGAAAGGAAAGAAGGAAAAACAAAGATCAATTATTCAAGCTAAAACATATGCGGTACAGGTTCGCCCGTTGAGTGCAATAATTACAAAATGGTCCCATGTAAATCAAACTATATATAAAAAAGGGGTTTCTCCATTTTAATCCTTGATAAAGATTGAAATTCAATTAAAACCTTATGTTAGATTATATATTCATTATAGTCCTTTGACTAAATTTCCATGTCAGCATAAATATTAAAATTTATATTTTCTTGTTTTGAAATATTTAATGTGTTTTTTGGGTTCCTATAATACCCCTATTAAATATTTGATTGTAATTTGCTCCATATTTTTTGGCATTGATTATTGTTTGACTTTCTAAAATGATAAACATAATTCAAAAAAATATTAGTGATACGTTACAAGAATTAACAAATACCTAATTCAAATTATTCATTATCACCATTCAAAGCATAGAGGAAATATAAATAGCCAAATCATATATTTTACATAATCGAATGCACTTAAACCATGTCCTAATGTGCTTAAATCATATAACCTAGTCGAATGCACATAAATCATAGTACCAAGTCAAATGCACCTAAACCATGGTACTTATATGAATGCACCTAAACCATGGTACCTATATGAATGCACCTAAATCATGGTACCTATATGAATGCACCTGAATGCACCTAAATCATGGTACCTATATGAATGCACCTAAATCATAGTACCTATATGAATGTACCTTTATCATTTAGGTACTATCAATTAGGTCTTATCCATTCGGTATGGTCGGTTAGGTACTATATAGTGTATGTCCGATTAATTTGGTACGGTCAATTAAGTTGTGATTTCACATTCTATTTTCTCAATTTGTATTTTTTTTTCATTTATCTCTGGATTCACCTTCAATTTGGTATCTAAAAGCCCATTTTTTCTCCTTTCTTCCGAATACAACAAGATTTTTGGTTTGTAAGTTTTATGGCTTTTTTTGTTTGATCATGGTTTCTGAGTTTTCTGGGTTCTTTGATTGGAATAACACATGGAGATTTATGTTATAACAAACATGTTAATTATGGATCTAGTTAATTAAGCATTCTTGAAAAATTAATTATATATTTGTTTCTCTAATTGGTTTTAAAGAGTAATAAGGGTAAATAGGGAAACTAAAAATGCAATAAATTTATTAAAAAATGATTAAATGTGACATGGAATACTATAATCTGACATGGAGGACTATTTTTAGTTTTTAATCTTACATACGGTATTATTGAAAAAGCAATCTTATTTAGGGATTAAAATCAAGTTTTCTATATAAAAAAACCCTGTACATTTTAACCTAAATATATACGATCTCTAAATGGTGCAAAATCTCATATAGCTCGTGAGTTTCACACGTGCAATCCCATCGAACTTTAGGTTTTCAAAGCTTGAATACATCATGGAACACAATTATTTAAAACAGAAAAGAAAACAAAAAACATAATTGCATGTTGCATGTGAAATCGAGACTTTTTAGTCTTATAGCTTTGCCCCACGATCTCCCAATTGAAAATTGGCGGGTCCATAATGTGACAATACGACATTATGCTAAAGCAGTCGTCAGATTTTTGTTCAATCGCAAACTTTGCAGTGCAACATATTATGTTAAAAATAAAAAAAAACAAAAACTGCCGAATTGGAATCAAGTTAAAGTTTGAAAGCTTACAAAAATAACTTTTAGATGAAAAAAAAAGTACAAATGATTATCAAAGAAACGAAACAAATTCAATCAATTTTTTATACATACAATGAATCAATCATTAACTGAGTGTCAAACACAACACAATTATAATACGTTATTATCGAACCTATTTAGTGCATATTAGACAGTAGCTAGTTTTTTTTTTCTTTTCGTGTGGCTCAGTTTGGCTAAATTAATGGCTCTATAACCCCTGTGATGTGAGTCAGAATGGTAGTGGACCCTTCCGCCCGACATTTGCAGTCCATAATACATTGGAAATCTATTGTTTCACAAAGAAATAACACACAGCAAAGTGCAAACTAAAGCTGTTAATAATAGTCATTAAATTAAACAAAGCAAAGTAAAATATAATTAAAGTTCCGTCTAACTGAATGAACTAAGTCACTAATTAAGAACATGAAGCCCTACAAATTTCAAACAGATTATTGAGACCCTTATTCAAGGGAAATGGGTCGGCACCACGTCATGCATACATCTCACTGATCAAATTAATACTTCTACCATTCCTAATAATTAAAGAAGAAAGTCCTCCATATTGAAATCTTTTTACATGATGATAAGTTTCAATTATGATGTTTGTATGTTGTAGTAATGTTACATTAGGAGAAATAAGGACTTTCCTAAGTAGGAAGGAGAGAAGCATTATCTTAAAAAAGAAAAAGAAAAGACAAATGTCAAAATGACTCTCTCAAAAGTGGGACTCATTATGGACTATCTACCACCTCATGTTTTTTGCACAATATTTTCTAGTATTGGCATGAGAATTGATGTTAAATTATAAGGTGGTAGAGAATCCAAAGAGATTCTCACTTTTGAGAGAGTCCCTTTAGCATTTCTAAAAAAAATATATAGTGATTATAAAAGGTATATTTAATGAAAAGTGCAACACATTTACTATAAGTACATGAAGCACTAAAACCTAGTTTTGGACTTAACGCTCTTTACAACATATTGGCACAATTGAACTTTTCAATATTAGTATCCTCAAAGAGGATTTTGAACTAAATCCATAATCAAAACTAGCCTTCATACACGTGTGTGTGGACATTTTTTGAATCACGGTATGCTAAGCGCGACTTACACGTTTTAATGTGTTTTTATGCGTAAATTGACAAAAGGAAAGTCAAATATTTGAAGTAAATGAATAATCTTAGATCATGCTAGAATGGACCCCTCATAAACCAATTAAAGCAGCTGAATCTACATAATAAAATCGGTCTCTATTGAATTTATATTAAGAATAGAGAAAATAGTATTTAAGAAATAACTGATTGAATCACATTATTGCTAGCCTATTGTGAGGCTAAGCCCACCCCCACCCCTTTAGTGTAGATGATATCGTTTGTTAAAACAAAACAATCATTTGACAACTAATTTAATCACATTATTATCCGCGTGTGAAAGAATTTTTTTTTATAACTGACATTACACACCTCTTAAGATGTTTTGAACGTGTTTAAAAATAGAGAAAACAATATTTAATGAAAAAACTGATTAAATCACATTATTGCTAAACTATTGTGAGGTACTAATTATTAAAAAAAAATACTATTAAAATGACGAAAATACCCATGCCACATTTGATGCATTATTTTGAATTGCTTTTGAAATTTTTTGTTTGAGGAGCATTTTTGTTTAATTATTTTTTGTGAAACTTGTGACACCAAAAACACTATTCATTGGGCTATTCGCTTTATATATAAATAAAGACATCCACATGGTTACATCAAACTTCAAGGGTGCGTTTGTTGTACCAGACTATTTCGGATTGGATTAACTTCAGGAACTAAGCTGGATTGGCTTAGACTAGACTAAGCTGGACAGATTTAGTGAAATGTTTGGTACAGTGTCAGACTAAATTACAGACTATATTTATTTTTTTTGCCATTTTTAGTTCACTTTTGCCTTAAAAATTAAATAAAAATTAATAATAAAGGGGCAATACCATCCAAGTCTAGAGTTGACTGGATTTGAACCACATTTTCTTTCCCTTTTCCTTTTTTACTCTACCTCGTTTCTCTTGTCCATGATTTTCTCTCTGTTGAATTGAAATTTCTAGCCTCAAATCTTGCATCAATCTCCTAATTTTCTTCTTCGATTAAGCACTGGGAGATGGGTCAGTTCGTGGTTTGGAGGTCTAAGCCCTCCGATTTACAAAATCCCCAAATCAAATAAAAAAATTCTTAGCCCTCTCAATTCCAAGACCAAGCCTCCTGAGAACTTCTCCGATTTTCAAAAAGCCAACCTCTCGATTCGTTTCTCAGAGGTGACTCCAGCGATGGTAGCTTCGCCAGGACCTCCACTAACATGCCGATATTTCTACATGCGGGCTTAAGAATTCAAGTTGAATCAACAACTCTCAAATTGAAAAGCTGTGCAAATTAAACTGACCTAGAAATTAAAAAGTTTCGCATATGATACGCGAGGAAGAGCGGAAAGAAGATGCCAACAAGCTCTATAGACGACACAAGCAAGGCTGTTGGAGTTATTGAGAAGGTTGATTTCCCGAACAAGTTAGTCAGAATTGCCGATGATGTAGATAAATTAGTAATTTGAGTGGAGAACAGCAACTCTGATGCTTAAACCGT